ACACGCCTGCGCCCGGAGGGCTAGGGACCGTGCATATGTGAATTGGGTTGTTGATACTTTTGTGTGTGCTCAGGCAGTTCATGTTAATATGTTTATTGAGATCTATTAATGCTACAAGACTCAAGTTGCAATACAAAATTATGTATATCTTTATTTCTAACAATGCAGCCACCTGTACTACAGGACACTAGGAGCATTACTGCTGACAATAGCTCGCCTTTAAAGTTGGAAATCGATGAAGCACACCTGTAAACAATGCTCTCCACGGATGCAGAAATCTTCGATGGGGCAGGGTCTCTTTTTACATATTGGTTAAGTATGTTCTTGCCTTGACCAAATGACCCTCTCTACATGGAATCCTCTTAGATCGCGGATACGTCATATTCCCTAACAACTGTCTCCTCGCATTAAGTGCACCGCACAAGTGAAAGAATGAAGACTAGACTTTGCCTTGGTGGTAGCGTGCTCACTATTAACGCGTTAACTCCGAGATGTAAACCACACTCTTTTAAGTTGTGTCGACCGATGGCTTTGATTATATTGTTAGATCCACTCAATTGACCTAAAAATGTACACAAAGAGTAAAAAGTTGGTGCTATATGATTAAAAGGGGTATAGAAATATATGACATGTTTATACTAATTGTTAATATGTAAAGCGTTGCTTATTTCTTACTGGCTTGGGGGGGAAGTGGAATGGCCAAAATGAAATTGAAGTCTTGCAGCTCCTCACGACTGCCGCTGCACGCACACACAGTTGCCGCTTGAGGTGGATAAAGGGTAAACGGCCCTTTTTTATCCACAAAATAACTATTGCTTCATTTAGGCTCACGTAATGCAGACTTGCGGTCGACACACGCAGAGGTTAGTTCTGATCTAATTTTCGGTTATGGAAGCTGTTACCACAGATTGCGCACACGCATGGGTTGACAGAGTGTGGGGAGCTTGTTTGATTTTTATCTTTTTGTGCTATATATATAGTATTTTCTTCTTCTTATGTTCGGCCTCACTTATACAGTGAGTTATACGCTTAATAGGATATGTACTTATTTGAGATACACTGCATCTGATATAATATAAAAGTGTGCTATATCGTGAAAAGTAGCAGTTGAGGGTGTTTATTCTTTTGAGTAAGTTAAACACTTTTACATTGTCGGTTGCTGAGGTGGAGTCGGTGAGTCGCTCAAGGTTATGCTCTCTCACTTCGAGATTCTGTACTGTTATTCGTCACCGGTGACATGTTTCATGACACGCTCGTCAGAACGAGCTCTCGCAAACTTCAGGGAGTTCGCTAGCTTGTCGATACACACTCATCGATTTCTGGATTTCTGCTGACCCCAAATTATTATCACTCATGAGCTGATCGCGGTGACCGTTGTTGTTTCCCCGTGGGGGGTCGCACGGGTGCACGTGTTTTAAAGTCGGTGGCAAGTCGCGTTGTAGGCCGGCCGGGGCGCGGGGCAGGTAAAAGTGCCTGTAGGACGCATGTCGTCGGCGTGTGGGGGTACATACATGTAGACGTGCATGCGTGCGGATGGAAACGGTATACTGGCCTCAGCATTCTTCAGTTCACGCGGCCCTTCGGAAGAGCGTTTTTCTAATGCGTTGTGTCTTTTGAAGTAGCCAGTAAATGACACCCAATTGCTTGACGCCCGCGGCGTTTTAAATCAGTGTGGTGTGATCAGCAAGTGAAAATGGTGTGGCCGTTTCCTAAATTTTGATAGATGAGAGTGCGTATGTACGTATGATGCATTATAATACTTTTGCTGCTGTATGAACGTGCGGTATAGTTAGACACGTACTTCGTTAGTACTTTAAGTGCATTTGACTCAGTTGACTACTGTGGTTATCGGTGCGTTGGGTGTTGTGATGGGGCGTTTTACCGCTGCGTGCCATGCGTACGTGCTGTGCTTGCCGTGGCGTGCGTACTGCCACGTACATGTGCGTGCATGCCTGTGCGTATTGTACGTGCGGGCGTGCGTGCGTTTGCCGCACGTACACGTATGTGCGCGCGTAGTGTGGTTTGGTGGCGTGCGTGGTGGTGTGTGTGGTGTGATGTGTGTGGCCGTCGTGTACGTACACATGCGTGCCATCGCGTTGCGTTACGTGTGCTGTGCGTGTAAAACGTCCACGTGTGTGCGTGCGTCGTGCGTTGGTGGTGTGTGGTCAGGTACGATGTGATCGGTGTGCGGATGCGTGCGTGTTCGTGCGTGGCGTGTGCCACGTCCACGTTTGGTTGGGCACCTGTGCGTGCGTTCGTGCAGCGTACATGAGCGGTTGGATGTCCGTTGCGTGTGCAGCGTTACTCGTGCCGTGCATGCGTGGTGGGTGCGTGTACCGTACCGTGCGTTGGCATATTGCGTACGTGGTTGCTGGCAGTAGCGTGCGTATGCCACGTTACAGGTGCCTGTGTGTCGAGTGCGTGCGATGTACGTGCGGGCCTGCGTTGGTGCACGTTGAACGATACGATTGTGGGCGTTGTGGTTAGCATGCGCTGCGCTGGTTTGCACGTACACGTATTGTGCGTGCTCAGTGCGTGCGGCGTCCGTGGCACGCTACACATGCGTGCATGCCGCTGCGTGTGTGCGTGCAGTTGTAAACGTGCACGTGTGTGCCTTGGCTTGTGCGTAGTTGTCAATACATGTACGTGCATGCGTGCGCGTGTGTGCG